TAATTGTCATAAAGGAAAAATCTATAACGTTTGGCGATTAGTGTTTAAAATAAATACAATGAGTTAAAATATTCCTATAAAAATTATAAGACTTCATATATTATATTATTATATAGTTTATACTACCTTATATTTATTTTTAATAAATACTATAACATTCACTTCATGCTTAAGGTAATAATGATTACCTACAACTAAATTACAAATATGAAATAAGCATAATTTTATTCATAGTCTTTTGTAAGTAATTAGTATGGGGAGATGGACTATCGACCAACAACCAAAATGGGCGATTGTAAACTCCACCGATTTACAGGTAGTTGATTTTAGGGTTGGATTTATAACATGTAAATTCCACCGATACATTTTTTTTACCTGAAAAAAAAATGTAAACTCCACCGATACGTATTTTTTCGTCATTTAAGGCAAACAATATTACCATTATACAATTCGTCAAAGCTGCATTTAAACATTATCAAACCAAATTTTAAAACCAAACAAATTTTTTTAAAACCTAAATTTTCTTTGATTAATTATTTTTTATTCATTTATTTTAATTAACATTATTTTAACATCGAACTAGTGATCACTATTAATTATTATTATATCATTTATTTTAATATTGTGTAAAAAAAGATAGAAGTATCTAAATATAATATATATAAATAATAAATTTTTATTAGATTTTTATGATTTTTTTTTTTTTTAATTATTGTTAATTATTATTAATAATTATATATTTAAAAAAATATAATAAATCTGCACCCACATAAATTATGTAATCTTAATTAATCAGATTGGATTTGGATTACAATTTTTAAAAAAAACATACCGGTGGAGTTTACATGAAAAAAGGTCTAAAAAGGTCGCAATCGGTGGAGTTTACATGCGCCCACCAAAATACCTATGCAATAATTTAATTTTAGACTTAATTTATATTTTTATTTTAAAAATGGGCTCATAATATTAAAAATAAATCATTAAATATGGTTAAGGATACTTAAATATTATAATAATACCTAAATATTGTTGAACATTTTGAAAATTGGCGCTTGTTTCAAGTAAAGACTAAAAATAATGCAGTTTACACAGAAATTTATTATTAGAGATTATAACGTTACAGAAATAAATTAATCATGAAATGAATAAGCCATTTGTATTGTATTATAATGTGTTTATTTAATTGAAACATTTTATCGTACAAACACGAACACTCGATTGATACGGTACCTTTTTCTGACTGTTTACATTTAATTGAGTTATTGAAGATACATGCAATTTCTGTGTGTATTTTATACAATTTAGGTAAAATAAAAGAATAGTGTCCTGTCATAACAAAGCCGAGATAAATTAGTAGTGAAAGGTTATTTAATGGTAAAAGATAAAAATACAGTCATCTAATTTATTGGAATTGTGAAAATAAAAAGATTATTTAAATGCAAAGGGCATCCGTCCACAATTTTAGTTGATGGAAGACATAAGTTGAGATCCGACAATGACATAAATTATTGTCGGTATTTGGTTGTTGAATGATTGCTCTATCGATCGAATGGTTGTTGGTCGATTGACCTAGAACCATTAATAAGTGTATATACCTATAGTATATCTATTGTATATTAAAATAAATTGTAAAGAATACGAAATTCTAGAAAATAAATTATTAGCAATCTTATTCTAAGTTCAAAATATCAATACCTATATAAATTAGTAGTAATTTAGAAAATCAACTACTCAATACTGATAGCATAGTTATCAATTATTATACTTTGAAACATGGTTATTTCTATAACTTTGGTTTTGCTTAGATCGAAACATTGTATCATAATATGTAAGTTAGTGATTGTTTATTTATAATAATTCTTATGTAAACATGATAATGGCCATTATTTTTTAATTGAACGGTAATATTATGTGTAATATTTCCACGAATGTTAAACTAATGCATTGTGTTTTAAGCACTTTAAAAAAAAATAATAATCATAAATGTTTTATTTACAAATATGTAACATGAAATACTATTTACAGATCTATTTAGGTATGCTGTATATTCAGTATTTTTGCAAGCACTTAACTGACTAAACAGTTACTGAATTAAGTGTATTTTAAAAATAAATAGTAGTGTAATGTTTAATATAAAAAGAGTATGGGATTATATAGTACATATTACAGTTTATTATATCATTAAAATATTTAAATTGTTTTATTTTTCATGAATATATTTTTTATAACTATATGTAAGGTAAAAAAAGTAACTATACTAAACTGCAGTTTTATGATAAATTAAAGATTTTAATATTAATAAAACTAATAAATTTAGAGTTCGTTAGTTTGGCATTCGAAATTAAAATTCAATATTTTTTTGATAAATAACTAATTTGTAATCGTAAAATCAAAATTTGTAATTTAATTCTTAATCCCTAAATAAATGTTTTTCTAAAAAGGATTCTCAGCTGAAACACTCCAAATTCAAAATACCAACACACAAAACAATTATTTAGTAGATCAAGGAGTCTTCTAAATACTTTTATGTTAATTTAAGTGGCAAAAAAAAATATGAAGCTATTTTTGCAATAGCTTTAAATAAATATAATGGCCTTTTTGGCCTAATCATAAAGAAAAAAGGATTCAAACCAGATTCACCATGTATTAAAGTCTAAAAGCAAACATTTTCTCCAGTCTTTAATCGATAGTAATGTCGCCTTAGATATATTTATCAATGAAATACAAAATAATAATTTTGGAGAAGATTGATTGGAGACTGATAATATGGTAAATATTATTGATTTAAATACTAAACAAAGTTTATTTTAAGTAAAATATGTGATCATATTATTTTACAGTCAAAATAATATTTTTTAACAAAAATTTTTAATAAAACCTCACGTGTATAGTTTCGTGTATTGCCATAGACACATATAATGGAAAGGAAGTAGATAGACTAAAACAAGTTTTTGTAATAATAGAATAGAATTATATAAAAAAGAAACTGTAATTGAAAACTGGAAAAATCAAGGATTGAAATCAAAGTCTCATTTATTTTGTCAAAACCTTTTTTTGAAAAGCGTCCAAGATTTTAAAATATTAAATTAAATAAAAACGGACCCATGTTTGAAATATTTTTACTAAAAAATGGTTCCCACTTTAATAATAAGTCTTTATTTGTAATAGGTAATAATAAAGTTTTATTAAGTAATACATGTTCTGCGAACTTGTTATTATCTATATTAGTTGTTTTTGCGAGTAAAAGTAAAAACTATCATCGATTTATATCAAACAAATAATTTATTTTATTATTAAAACTCCATAAGAATACATTTCTTGGTGATTTAGGTAGTGAAAATATTACAATAATGCCTATCTTTATATATATTTATAAATTATATAAGAGTGATCATTATATTTTTGTTTTATTTATAATGCAGCTACTACTACTACTACTACTACTACTACTACTACTACTACTACTACT